AAAGTCAATTAAGAACCTCAAATTTCCCCTTTACTCGGACAGGTTCCAGGTTTTGGCTATCTAGGGTTCTTTAATCGATTTAAAATTCGACCAGTTCTAGCAAGATTCGAGCCAAAGTAGGGGTGGTTTGGGAACGAGGGAGGTCAGGTGGAGCTGGGGTGTGAACTTGGGACTGGTTGGGTAGGTTTAGGGTTTTGCTCGAATCTTCGATTGAAGATTCGAAACAAACCGGGATGATTCGAGGTTAAAGGGGTAGGGATTTGTGTTGAGGGTGGTTAGAAGGTTCAGGGGTGTGAATTTGAGGGTCATCGGTCCTTAGGCCGCCGGGTTTTCAGGCGAAGGGAACGAGGGAGGCTAGGGTTTGGTGGGTCGTTTGGTTCGTCTCTGAAAGCGACGACTAGGGGGGGTTTGGAAATGAGAGGGGTAGGGGATTGGGAGGGGGTTTGATAGGTTAGAGTTTAATCAATTGATTTCAGTCGTTGGATGATGGGAATCCAACGGCCACAATTGATTTGTTGATCAAAACGGGGTTGTTTGGTAGTAACGGGGTCGGGACGGGTATAGGAACAGGTAAGGGAGAGATGATCTTGGCCGTTGATGGATTGGGATGTACGGCTAAGATTGGACGTGACAGATACGACGTNGTTGATGGATTGGGATGTACGGCTGAGATTGGACGTGACAGATACGACGTCGTTTGGACGTCGTATTGCCAGGTCGATTGGACCGGGTAAAAGGGGTATTCGGACTGGGTCTGCGGACATATTGTTTGGGCCTGTAGAAAAAATTGGCCTGGTCCGAGTTTATCAACTCTTTCTTTCATTTCTTCCTTTTCTTTATTTTCTTTTTTAATTCTTAATTACCAAAAGTTCTAAATTAAATTGTAAAACTAAAATTAACTTAGGAAATACTAATTAACCCTTAATAATATTTATCACACAAAATTAAATACAAAGATAATCACACAATTTGACATTAGACACTAAAATGCGAAGTGCGTTATTTTTTCGATTTTTCATTTTCGTAAAACAAATTACTGTTTAATTAATCCTAAATTGTAAATGCAGATGCAACACATATATTTTTTTTTTATTTTTCATTAATTAAAATAGAATAAACATTCACAGACAAAATACAAATAATTATCCAAAATAACACAAAACTATTTTATTTTGAATTTTTTGGAGTAGTTCTTGTAGGGCAAAAATTACGTGCTCACACAGGGAAAGGAGATACAAGGCTGAAAGCAATAGTAGGTGTCTCAACCAACCTCCTGAACACCATCAACAAGGACAACAGGGAAGATAACGAAAACAGAACACCAAACACCACACCTAGAGGAGAAGCTTCACCTCTCCTGCACGAAAGCGCAACCGCTTCGCGTGAGAAGTAAGCCTCCACATCTACAACAGGTGAGAAGGCTACTGGAAGAGTGATTAACAAGTGCTCTGAATAGCATACTTGACAAACCCGCTCAAAGGGATAACAGAGATATTACACAAATCGATTCCACGACGATCGTTGGCGAGCAAGATAGTCCCCGTATAGATAATGCTCATGTTGCTGCTGACGAAGGTAACGATTCTAAAGAAAATGGAGGAGATAGAAAATGAGAATAAGGTACTCCGTGACCAGATGAAGGAACACCAAGAAAGGGTTGACAAAATACCAGGCGCCCCAAAGTTGTTGCCAAAATGGGACGTCGGTAGATTCATCGAACAACCATACAATGAAGAAGCGGCCCCCTATGCCATTCCAAAGACCTTCAAAATGCCTCCCTACATATAGATATATGATATTACTACCGATCCAGAAGATCATATCATCCATTACGTTACAGCCGTAACAGGTAATGATCTTTCAAAAGAGCAGGTACCATCGGTGCTACTGAAGAAGTTCGGCGAAACCCTAACAGGGGAAGCCTTGATGTGGTACTTTATACTACCGGCATGTTCGATAGCAACGTTCAAGGAAATGGCAGACAAATTTGTCACCGCCCATGCAGGAGCCAAAAAGGCAGAAGCTAGGGTAAACGACATCTTCGCCGTGAGACAGATGCACGCCGAGGGACTTAGGAACTTCTTAGCTCGGTTCAACAGGGTGAGGATAAGCTTGCCAAACGTGTTAGAAGGAATGGTAGTAGAAGCCTTCCAAAACGGATTAAACAGAAATGGTTCGAGAGCCACTAGAAAATTGCTAAGCAGGCTCATGAAATATCCTCCAACCACTTGAGAAGAAATCCATAACGCCTGCTACGTTGAGGTAAGAGCCGACGAGGATGACCTTAATTGTCCCGGTTGATGTCAGTTCAAACTGAAGCAAGGAAAGATCATCGCAACGACGATCGAAGAGATCAGTCGGGGCCCCGTCTCAGCCGAGAAAGGCATCAGCCCTATGTCAGGACATCCGCCCCACCTCCACCACGGCACACGAATGCTCTTTCTCGACATACAGCGCCATATCGACATGAGAAATGTATGCCTCCACTCCTATCTGCTCACAATTTTTATGTTTCTCCTTCAAAAATAGTGTACACACTAGAGAAACTCGGTACAAAGATACAATGGCCACAAAAGATAAGGTCCAACCCCAACACTCGGAAGTCGAATGCTTTCTGCGAATTTCACCAAGAAAGGGGTCACAAAATCAAAGATTGCATAGGACTGCGATAGGAGGTAGTGCGAATGCTAAATCAAGGACACCTGAAAGAATTACTGAGCGATCGAGACGGGCTAACTTTGTCTGTGGATGCTAACAACCCCAAGGGCCTCCAAAACTATCTTATCCCGCCCGCACCATACAGATGATCATCGGCGGAGGCGATGGCACAACAATCAATCATGTCAAGTTCAACACCACATATAAACTCAAACGGTCGATCGCCCATGAATGGTATGATGACCTCGAAGACAGTACCATCTTCGATAAGTCGGATGTCGACGGTTTGTCCTTCCCTCACTACGATGCTCTTATTATCACTTTACGTATCACAGATACTGATGTAAAAAAGAATAATGGTAGATGACGGGAGTGGCGCGTGTATTATCCATCCTCGAGTCCTCGTACAGATGATACTCGAAGACAAAATAATACCGCACTGCATAACACTGACAGGTTTTAGTAATGTAGTCAAACAGACTTCTGGAGAGATAATGCTACCCGTCCTAGCAGGAAGAGTCACCCTGGAAACAATATTTCATGTCTTGGACCAAGAAACAGCCTACAACGCCATCATAGGGTGCTCGTGGACACATGTCATGCGAGCGGTCCCTTAATTCTTTATCAAGTGATCAAGTTTCCTACCCCATGGGGAGTATTCAACATTCGAGGCGAGCAACGTACCACACAAGAATGTTATCGCATCACCCAAGATTGCGTCCACACCCAGCAACTCAAAGGGGAAAATGCGGAAGCATAGCAATCAGTGATGTCGGGATACAAACTTGACGTACGGACAGACATTATCAAGGAACCCGACATCGTGGAAGCATCCGAGTTGACGATATAAAATCTTGATCTCGTCCTACTAGACAGCAACGACATAACAAAAAAGGCTTATATCGGGCACAACCTCTCGGAACCAAGTAAGTTTCATAAATTCTTGACTAACCATGCTGATCTGTATGCCTTCTCCCATGTAGATATGCCAGGTATCCCAAAAGATATCACCACACACAAGCTAAATGTCGACCCCCTATACCCGCCAGTATGACAAATAAGAAGAAATTTCAATGCCCCGATCAACGAAGCCGTCAGCGAAGAAGTCGATAAGCTATTCGCAAATGGCTCCGACCGAGAGTCAAATATCCTCAGTGGGTCACCAATGTGGTCATGGTGAAAAAAACGGAAAGTGGCGGATGTGTAGATTTCACGGACCTAAACAAGGCATGCCCAAAAGACTCATTTCCACTGCCACACATCGACCAGCTCATCGATGCAACAGCAGGACATGAGTTGTTGAGATTCTTAGATGCCTACTCGGGCTACAACCAGATCCTCATGGAAGAAGAAGACCAGGAGAAAACCACTTTCATCACTCACCAAGGAACATACTGCTATAAGGTCATGCCGTTTGAACTAAAGAATGTAGGGGCGACGTATCAGAGTTGGTCACCAAGATCACTACAACAAAAATGGTCTTTGACGGCAAGTATATAGTGGCAATAAATTAGTTGCCCTAATTTGTTCTCCACAAGTAGGGTGTTCATGGTTCGGTTTGGATCGGTTTTTTCCTAAAAAGAAACCAAACCAAGTAAGTCGGTTTTTCAAATATTAGAACCATACCAAACCAATTAAGTCAGTTTTTTCTTATTCGGTTTATGTTAGTTTTTCGGTTATTTATCGGTTTTTTCTTAAATATAAGACATACACTACCAAAAACATATTTCGGCAACCACATTTTCAACGTAACACTATCAAATCAATTGCACTTTGAGAAATCTATTATTTACCAAGATATATTGATGATAATTGAATCAAATAGTGATGAATAATTTAAGGACTCTATTAAAAATATATTATTTTTAAGATGAAATAGATTCTTACACTTAACAAAAGAAAACTACCAATCAAACTAGAATGTAAAGGTAAAGATATGTACTAAAAGTGCAAACGATTAACATTTACTATAAAAATTTTGAAACTTTGTATAAAAGTATACATATATATAGGTATAATAATAAATTTAAAATAGCTAATCCTATATTTGGTTTGGTTTGGTTTTTTTTAATTAAAACCAAAACCAAACCAAATTTGATCGATTTTTAAATTTCAAAATCAAAACTAAACCAAACCAAAAAGTATCGGTTTTTTTGGTCGGTTTGGTTTGGTTCGGGTTTTCGTATTTTTATGAACACCCCTATCCACAGGCAATTATTACCGGCATTTGAACATTTGCAGGGAAATTATGCTTGTTTAGCGGAAAATCAAAATAATGGCCAGCAAAAACTGTGCACAACAGAGTACTTATTTTAAGTTTTGACCTCCCTTCAAATATTTGGTAAAAATTAGTGTATTAATTTTTACTTCCCTCCAATTATTTCGTCAATGAAATATTCCCTCTTTTGTCGTACACATATTCACCCACAATTTCCCAAAGGATTCTTCTATGCCACGGTAAGCCATAGAAGAACTAGGGTTTCTTGATTCATCTCTCGCATTATCGTCTCTCTCACTACACCAGCCAATATCACTTGGTAATCTCTCTCTATTTCTATCTCTTTTTCTTTAGGTATTGATTTCTTGTTGTTGATGGCCGTTCTAAAATCTAGAAGTCACAAATAAACTTTAAAATTGATAGATACAAGCCAAATATGCATTTAATTTGGTCATGGTAAGTACAGTTTATATACCAATAATTACCTTCATTTTATTGTAGGAGAATTTGCTTCTTTTTCCCCAGAAAAAAATAAAGCAGTGATGGTGAATCATTTGTATATCGATTACAATTGGTATTTCACGGAGATTTTTGTTGGAGCAATTTTTCCTTTTATGTTACCATGACATTATTGTAAGGTAAACTAGATTTCCTTGTGGTAATGTTTCTTTCTCATAAAAGTCTTTTCTAGAAGATGGATATTTGAAAATTAGTAAATTTCTTTCATTACAGTTTTTCAACAAAAATAATATTTTCCAGTGTAAACTTAGAATGAAATTGGTCACTTCACTGCTAAATTTGAAAAATAAATATACTCTAAATTTGTCTAATTTTCATAACTAAATCGTTTAAAGCAATTGTTTAACCTGTTACTAGCATTTTTTTTATATTTAGAAAATATATAGTTGTAGTTATCCTCATGTTCATATGACAAAAACATTCATTTTAACATATTAGTCAAAGTCATTTAGTTTGAGTTTTAGAAATAGGAAAGTCAAGCATGTTGGAACATATGAGAGTACTACCCTAATATTGAAATGGGTACAGACACTTATATACTAATTTGATAGAAATTTTATGTGTTTTCTTTTGGTTATTTAGCCCTATGTGAGATTTAAACTTGTTAGTTTCATTATCTTTCAGTTTCAGGCCCTACGTGAAGTAGTTGCAGAAGAGGGAGAATGGTAGAAATTTGGAGATGAGAAATCATAAGTATCACTGAGTTCTAAGAAAGTGATGCCTCCTTATTGCTGTATGAGGTACTCTGGCTTTTATATAAGCTTATGCTTATATGTCCAAATGACTGTTAAGTCTATTTATCGGTAATAAACCAAGTCTATATTCTCTCACATCAAAAAGTATGCATAGTAATTTTAGTTGTAAGATGATTTGGTTAGAATACTTTTCACTTGGTTGACTTCGGTTGAATTAGTTTCAAGTATCATGGATGCAGCTATCAAGCCTGTGTACAAGGTTTTGCAGATATTCTTTTAGTAAATGTTATCGATCTATCTTACTATGAAGTGGCAGATCTGGAACTGCTTGTAAAAATGAACTTTGTCTGTCCCTATTTATGTGATGCACTTTCCTTTTTAGTTTGTATAAAAAAAAAGAATAATACCTTATAATATTTAGGAATAATTTAATTTTAAACCTACCATTTTACCTTTAATGAGATTATATAGCCACACAAATATCTATGACTTATTTTAGACTACAAATTTCGAAAGTCTTTCTTTCTTAAACTTCGTGCCTAGTCAAATTCCATCACATAAACTGGGATGGAGGAGTAATTTATTATATCGTATGTCTAATTAGATTATTTTGTTGAAGAATTCCTCAATTGAAAAGGGTTAACATAATTTTGCTAATGTTTGCAGTATGTTAAGTTGCTTTTCAGTTACATTACTATTTGCATTTTCCTAAGTTATCGTACATTTTCTGTGCTTTTGGTTATCTTTAGTTTGTGCGCATATGAGTCCTGTGTGACAAGAAAATACCACCGAACTTAAAGGAAGACACTGTCACTTGGAAGTAACATAAGAATTAATAATTTCACCATGAATTCCTTTTAAGCTTTACTACTAATATTAGAGGTGAGAACAAGATAAATTTTCCATGAAAATTCAGTGAATATGTTGCATTTTTGTCTTTCTGTGGTAAGATATGAAAGGATTAATTTAGCTTTACTTAAGTGAGTAGTTAGTAAATATGTTGTGTTCTTGTCTTTTTGTGGTACGATATGAAAGGAATAATTCAACTTTATTTTTGTACTGACTTAGTACCATCTTGGTAGTAGGATATTATTAATAAATTACCTTTACTTATCAATTTTAGTTTGGTGGTTAGCTATTTTGATCATTCTCCATATGTGTGATGAGATTCAATCTTGTTTGGCTCTTCCATCAGATTGGCTTTTTCTGCTAGTAAATATGTTTTCATGACCTGAAAACCTTGTTTGTGAAGTTGCAGTTCATTGATCTTGTAGTATATTCAATGGATGTATAGCATCTGCTTGCTACTAAGAAACAATTAATATTTAAGTCATAGCAAGTTGAACTTGATGTATTTGATTTGTGAAGTTTCCATTTGTTAGATAATATTCATACCGAAGATAATGACAATACACTTTGTCTGCAGATCATGGACGTGCAAGCCTAGATAAATCACAAAAAGATTGATGCAACTAACGCAAGAGATCATGGGAACTTCAATGTAATGACCAAATTCTCTTTTAGTGAACAAATTGTCACTCTTTTATTAATATTTCACTGAACCATAGTCATATTTAGTATGCTACTTGTTCATTTATGAATTTCAGATCTGGTTTCAAAAATGCATTGATAACATGCACAAAACTTGTATCATGCTGGTGCAATTTGAGAAGTTGATCTAGTGAAATGTAGCTCCTTATCCTGGTGCATAATAAGGGTTGATTTGGTGCAATCTAGCCCATCATTTCGGTTCACAAATGGATCTTTAAGCTTGTGCAAGTACGTGTGGCACATATGGAAGACTTCCATATGATCAAGGAATGAAAAAAAATTGTTAGACGTGAAAATGTATTGGATTCAAATGATTTTCCTCCTCCTATGTATTTACACTTTGAAACGACAAATTAGCAGTTGTATTTGTTTTGAATATAATGAAATACATTTTACTTCAATGGATTTGACATTAGCATGTTTTATTTTATAAAAGTTTTTTGTCAACTACAGAAAAGCTATTAAGGACATCAATAAAAAAAATTAAGAGTAGTATTAGTCACCATTACAACTGCCGCTAAAATAGTTCCTCTTTCACATCAATTAATTGATCTTTAGCGGCAATAATAAATGCCACTAAATGTATGAGCTAGCATATCTTTTAGGGAGATTTAGTGACTATTGGAATTGACAATAAATAATTGCCATTAAAAGTAATAACCTTTAGCGGCAATAAATGGTGTCTTTACCAACAATTGGTAAAATTGCCGCTAAAATCTTTAGCGACGCTAGATACAACGGCAAAACATAAATAGCTGGTAATGGTATTAGCGGTAATTATTATTGTCGCTAAAAGGAAAATAAATTTCCTCTAAAGATCATTTTTGTTGTAGTGGATGTTCAAAGATCAACTCGGTAAAACAATAGAAGTCTACATCGACGACATGCTGGTTAAGTCAAAAAGGAAGGAATAACATATCGGTCACCTAAAGGAAATCTTCGACATTCTAAGACGGTACGACATGAAACTAAACCCCGAAAAATGTGCCTTTGACGTAACCTCGGGTAAGTTCCTCGATTTCCTGGTATCACAAAGAGGCATCGAGGTTAACCCAGATCAGATTAAGGCCATCGAAGGAATACCCAAAACACTAACCAGCAAAAAGCAGGTACAGAAATTAACAGGACGGATAGACGCCCTGTCGAGATTCATCTCGCGGTCATAAGATAGATGCCATAAAATTTTTAATGTATCAAGGAAGGACAATGGGCCTGTGGAATTCAAAATATGTCAACGCCCTGAGAAAACTGAAAGCATACTTGTCCTCACCACCATTACTCTCCAAGGCAGATCCAGGCGAGTGCCTCCTAGTCTACCTAGTTGTCTCCGAAGTTGCGATGAAGTTCTAATCCGAGAAAGCAAAGGTACGCAATCCCCAATTTACTATGTCAGCAAAACCTTAATCGACGTTGAAACAAGGTACCCCCACCTTGAAAAACTGGCTCTAGCACTAGTCATAGCTTCACAAAAGCTTAGACCATACTTTCAGTGCCATCCCATAAAGGTGGTGACAACCTTTCCTCTCAAGAGCATCCTGCACAAACACGAATTATCGGGTAGGTTGGCCAAATGGGCCATATAATTGAGCGAGCACGATATAACATATCAACCACGAACTGCAATAAAGTTACAAGTGCTCGCCGATCTCGTCGCCGACTTCAGTGCAAAAATATCATCCGAAGTCAAGCAAGAAGCGCTCTGCACTTCACCTGAAAGACCCGACCTCTGGGTCCTCTACACCGACGGCGTGTCCAACGCGTCGGGATCCAGACTAGGACTCGTACTCAAAGTCCCAATGGGTGAAGTAATTTGTCAATCTATACGATGCCCCGAAATGACTAACAATGAGGCCGAGTATGAGGCCGTAATTGCAGGACTGAAATTGGCACTCAAGTATGGTGCTCGACGAGTCATCCTCCGCTGCGACTCTCAACTTGTCGTAAACCAAGTTACTGGGACTTTCCAGGTTAAGGAGCAGAGGTTGCAGAAATACCAAACCAAAATCCACAAGTTGCTGCTAGAATTCGACGAATGCCGACTCGACCAAATACCGCGAGCACAAAACATCGAAGCAGACAGTCTCGCCAAGCTGGTGGCAGCAACTATAAATATCACCAAGGAGAACGTGGTCACTCTCCTCCACTCATCAATAGACCAAGTCGAGGTACATGCTATAAATTTAACTTAGGACTGGCGCAATCGCGTCATATCATATCTACATGAAGGAACACTCCAAAAGATAAAAAAAAAAGCCAAAAAACTCCAAATACAAGCGGCCAGGTATAGCCTCATAAACCATGACCTTTACAAAAAGACGTTCGGTGGTCCTTTGGCCAAATGCCTTGGCCCAAGTCAGACAAGGCGGGTGCTCGAAAAGGTACAAGAAGGCCACTGCGATGCCCATACAGGCAACCGGGCCCTCGTTAGATGTATTATCCGTGCAGGATACTACTGGCCCACTATGAAAAAAGAGGTCGCGGATTACGTCAAAAAATGTGAGCAGTGCTAGAAATACACCCCTATGACACATAAGGAGGGAGAACTCCTGCATCCCGTCACTTCTCCATGGCCGTTTATAAAATGGGGGATGGATATCGTCGGACCCCTCCCAGCAGGTGAGGTAAGATACGCTTCCTTTAGGTTTTAACTGATTATTTTTCTAAATAGGTGGAAGCAGGTGCATTCGCTCAAATACATGAACAAGAAGTCATCGCATTCATCTGGAAAAACATCATATGCCGCTTCGGCATCCCCAAAGAAATCAGTTGCGACAACAGACCCCAGTTCATCGAGAAAAAAACAACTGAGTTCTTTGAGAAATGGCACATCAAGCCGATACTCTCCACTCCATATCACCCTGCCAAAAACGGCCAAATGGAATCATCCAATAAAACAATATTGAACATATTAAAGAAAAAGCTCGAGGATGCCAAAGGGCTATGGCCGGAACTACTACCAGAGGTGTTATGGGCCTACCGCACAATGCCGAAAACCAGCACGGGTGAGACGCCGTATTCACTAGTCTACGGCACTGACGCAGTTATACCCATTAAAGTCAAGGAACCTAACTTGAGATACTCCAATGAGAGTGGACCAAGAAACGACGAAAGCATATTACAGGACCTGGACGAGGTTGAAGAACGAAGGGATATGGCTCACGTAAGGAAGATAGCCCAAAAACAACAAGCAGAAAGGTACTATAACAAGAAGGCCAAAGTACGACCACTCAGAGTCTGGGATTACGTCCTTAAAGCCAAGACACAAACAACGAAGGACCCAAATGAAGGGAAATTGGGAACAAACTGGGATGGGCCATATAAAATCACAGCTGCAACAAACAAATGAGCATTCCAATTAGAGACAATGGAAGGAAAACTACTACAAAATAACTGGAATGTCGCCCACCTCAAGTACTTCCACTTCTAAAAGGGGACGTCGCCCAAGTCGTAATCTTTTTCCCTCACCCGGGTTTGTCCCTATCGAGTTTTCTTGGGGAGGTTTTTAATGAGGAGACAAGGGGGACGTCTCGAGGTTCGAAGTATTGTTCATTGCCCTGCCTACTGATGGCATCTCCAGGCCGAGCAATGAAGGGACTAGATATAAAGAATCTCCATTGTATGCACAAAATCGACATGTACTGCCATTGTATGTATGAAGTCGACATGTATCTCCGACATATAAATAAAATCACTCTATTATGTATGTGAAATCAACACGCATTTCCAAGGTATGAATAAAAATTGGCACATATGACACTCCAGCAAATGAAATAGAATGCCATACTCATGGCGGGATACTACTTCGGCACCAGCTCGAAAGTAACATCCCAATGGCTAAGGCCATCGTCGAAGAAAAGAGTTAAATTTCACTCGAACCACGATGGTATACTACTTCTGCACCAGCTCAAAAGTAACATCCCAATGGCTAAGTCCACCATCGAAGAAAAGATTTTGATTTCACTCGAACCACGACGGGATACAACTTCGGCACCAGCTCGAAAGTAACATCCCAATGGCTAAGGCCATCATTGAAGAAAAGAGTTTAATTTCACTCGAACCACGACGGGATACTACTTCGGCACCAGCTCGAAAGTAACATCCCAATGGCTAAGGCCATCATTGAAGAAAAGAGTTTAATTTCACTCGAACCACGACGGGATACTACTTCGGCACCAACTCAGAAGTAACATCCAAATGGCTAAGGCCATCGCTGAAGAAAAGAGTTCGATTTTGCTCGAACCACGACGGGATACTTCTTTGACACCAGCTAGAAAGTAACATATCAATGGCTAAGGCCGTCGTCGAAGAAAAGAGTTTGATTTCACTCGAACTAAGACGGGATACTACTTCGGCGCCAGCTTGAAAGTAACATCCCTACGACCAAGGTCGTTGCTAACGAAAAGAGTTCAATTAAAATCACAACACGGCGGGTTTAACATTTCAACAAAGATTCAGAATAACATGACTGTGGCAAAAGCCATCGATGAATAAACCAAAAAAAAGGGAAACAACAACTTAGAGGTACACGACCAAAAGAATTTCCATTTCAGCAAATATATTACAAGTACTTGTTTTACAAAGGGCTCAAAGATTCCCTCACAAAAATGGCGAAGCAAAAGTAAATACAACCGAATACTAAGCCATATTATTCCCTATGGTATACACCTCATAGTACCAAGAGTCTGAGGCAAGTTTGTCTGCATCATCAGAATTAATATCATCCCTGCCAGGCTTGATGGGGTCATACCTGCATGCCTCACGAGCTGCACGGGCCTTGGCACGCACATCTTGAAGCTCTATCTTAGCGCCCTCCCCTCGATATAAAGAGCCTTATACACATCGAGTCGGGCTTCAGCGTGAACCCACAACTTATACAAATGACGAGGCACGACAGTATCAGACGAAATATGTGATGTAGAGGGTTGCGACTGATATCACATGCCCTCCATTATCAAGGAAGCCACTTATTCATTCAACGTGGACAATTCTGCCTCCAAATCATGAATACGACTCTCAAGTCCCGCTACCTTAAGTGTGGACGCCTCTACATCCTTGTCCCGTTCCAATCTACAAACATGGAGGGCGTCTCCTAAAGCCGCTACCTCAGAGACGGCAGTCACCCTCTCCCTTTCAGCGTGGGCCAATCCATCAACATTTGCTCTCAATTCACACTTAAGGTCAACGACCTCCGCCGCCTTCATATCCAGTTCAGCAGTTAAATTGGCCACCTTTGCTTGGAGGTCGGCATTTTTGGTCATCACTCCCTTATTTAGCTCAAGCTCATCTTCCCTAACCTTAAGGACTGCCTCAAGCTCACTACAACGAGCAATGGCCTTCATAAGGT